CAAGCCTGCCAAAGTTTCCCTCGCGTGCATGCGAACACTATTGCACGACAGAGGCGCCAGCCGGGACGCTTTCAATCCATTGTTTTACGTTTGCTTACTTTTGACGAAAATCTGGCACGTCGGGAACCAGCAAAACGGTGGCAAGCGGTTTTTTGGAATTGCTCGGCAATGCCTACAGCGCTGTACACTTGTAGGATGACTCGGCAGTAAAAACATACAGCGAGTTCCGTCACAATATGTCACATCAGGACACAACACAACACAAAAGGCCCTTCGTTCGTACAGCACTTAAAATAAATATTTTTATTTTTATAAGAATATCTGGCTCCAAAAGCCACTTTCGCTGCTCCGAAAGGTGCTCAAAAATGGCTTAGGCCAATCACATCACTGTTTATGGAATGATTCTTGACAACGATAGAAGGCTTTCGAAACATTTATTTGTGTTTAGATGAAAATATTAATAAAACTTGGCTTTGAACTAAGCAGATAATTGCACAACACGCTAGTTTACTACAGTGTAACTCGTGACGTGATGTCACATGGCTACTATGGCTGCCGCCTATGGCTGCTGGTCAAGAGATATTCAAGTTTTTGCTTTGTGATTAAACGACGGAATCGGTGAGGGTCCTAAGGGGACGAGAGGGGGTGGCAAAGGGGACAGTCAAAACCTCTTTGCTTGTTATATTTCTTTTTTTTTTTTAATTTGCTTGAGGACCGCAGGAGTGCTCTTGTTTACTGGAAGTGGCCAGTTGACTTCAACCATGTACACCTGGATTATTTTACCATTCTGTCGCCCCCCTTTAGAAGATAATGTTAGCTGTCGCTATGAGGTATTTTTGGTTTAGGCGGCACCATGCGACATGGCGGCAATGACTGGCATAATCTCCCGACTGCTCTCTGCCACGACTGTATCATGTGCTCCCCCGCCACCTTGATTATTGCTCCCCCCCCCCCCCCCCCCCCCCCCCCCCCCCCCCCTCCAGAACCAATATCTTGAATTTGCTCTCCATAGAACTAATGCCTGGGACCGCCCCTGAGTGGAATTCCCGACATTCCTTGGTTATTAATCGCTGTGGTTTCTTTTACTCGTGCCAAGGTAAACGAAATAAGAGTAACACGCTGCCGTATTCTTACAAATTTAAAGTTGTTGCACTGCCCCTTTAACCTCTTAACCATTTTTAGTTCTGAAGAATTTCAGGCCCTCAACTGCTTAATTGTTGTGTTTAAAATCAAATCTGTTGCCTTCAAAATCAAACTTCTTGCCACAACAAAAACTGAAGCAGAATGAAAAAAAAAAAAAATAATAAAAAAATCGGTGCCACCATTTTTTGGCACAGCCGCATATTAAGCCGGGAGCGAGCCTACTTGGCCCAAACAAGTTGCGTGCGTCAACTAGAGAAAACAGACATGCTGTGCTCGTCCTGAACGGTTTGGGGATGGCCCCAAGTTGACGATCTTGGCTCCTCCAAAAGGGTTAAGGGGTTAAGGTCATTGCGAGACATCAGTATTACTACTCATTTCATTTTCTGTTACACGGGGTCCTTCCGAAAAATGTACAGGGTTCTTTTCCACTGCAAAAATAAACTATGCGTCGCTGACCTCTCATTCTCTGGCCAAATGTAGCCAGATGCCAGAGTTTCAGAAAAAACTTATTCAAAAGTTTTAAGTGATTTTCTGAAAATTTCAATGGGAAAATGGGGCTCGTTTTTTGGTAATCAGCACCATTCAGCTCCATGTATTTGAGAGCTCTGTTGGCTGCCATTTGCAGATAGAAAATTTCAGAAAACAGTTACTGCAAATCTTATTGGCTCCCTGCACCGAAGATAAAAGTAGATTGCGGGGGCACAGTCTCATGGGAACCTTTTTTCAACTTGCACGCACTTGCCTTGACAAGACCCGAATTTCGTTGTTTTCGCACTGAAATTTTATAAAGCCGGTTGCTTAAACTCAAGTTCTGAATTTTTATATTACTTTACTATGAAAATGAGCAATTTCAGAAACCTAGTAAACATGGGGAAAAATTAGACGTTTTAGTTGCCATTTTTTTTTTAGGAACAACAGATATTGGCGACATTTTTTTTTATAGCAACTCACTACAGTTATTCTACTATGCATTCCACCAGAAAAAAACCAAGCAAAGAACAATTATCAGCAACATTTCAAAACGATAAATTTCTAAAGCAGACATGCCTTTTACTTAATGGTGGTGCATATAATTCATCAGTAGTACCTCCAGTATAGGTCCATAAAGTAAGGCCGGGCATCAATTAAAAATTTTAACCTTATCAGTCGGCACCTTTTGATCGATTAATCCGTCTTGTTAATGCCAGACATACCTTGCTCCAGAAGGGCAAGGGCACATTTTTTCTTTTACATTCTCTCTTTTTGTCTTTCCTAATAAATGCTGCAATGTGCATTTCAGCTGGGGATAAACATGTGCAGTCGAGCGCAGTCGAAAGATACTCAGATTATTATTCCTCCGGCAATGGCATAGGAGGAGTTTTCTGGAACTCTTTGACATGACTACGAGTAGTCGAGTTTCTTGCTTCTTTACAATCATCCTTGCTGCACTGTACGGGCTCTCGAGAGACTTTGAATCGGGAGAGACGTCCTATTTCGAACGACCGACACTACTTGAGAACCGAAAAAGCCCTGCAGTTGCCAGTGCGGTCTGCCATTCCTCACGTCGGCCGCTGAGCGACTGACACACCCTGGCTTTTTCGCTAACCAGTTTGTCGACGCCTTGGCTCACTGCCATTGATCGGCACAACATGCTGCCGGTCCACAGTTAAAGTCGTCTGCTTTGACAGGATTGACGACGTCAGTAGATCGACTTCAATGAAGAAAAAATTGTTTCCAGTCATTGCTCCGAGAACCTCCAAGTGGCGGCTGTCAGTGCCACGGGAGTGATGGAAAAAGCTTTATACCCCGACAGACATGCCGCTCACTGGGTGCATGTGCAGATTAGTGAAAGCAAAGCTGGTGGACATTGTCCCTCTCGAAGAATCTTTGCCTGCTGGCAACCTGCTGTCCTTGAAAAGAGCTCCCTCTGTTCTGTACGTTGCGCTTCTGAGTGTAGCGGTGGCTGTGAAAACCTGGTGGGCTCTTCGTAAATTGGACATGGCCTTCTCGCTGGAACCAGCGCTGCCTTAACCGTGACTAGTGTTGTTCTTATTTGTGGGCTTCCAGTTGACGAAGAGGGTAATGTTTGCGATCTAAGAATAAAAAGTAGGGTTGTGTGAATATTCGAAATTTCGAATAGTAGTTTCGAATAATACACTATTCGGTATTCGCTTCGAGAAGAACTACACTATTCGCGTTTTTCGAAGTCTTGATTGCGGCGGGTTAGCTCCGTTGAGTGCGCTTCTTACCGAGCACCGGTGCACTGTGGAGAAGCAATAACCGCGGAAGCAAGCTCTGCGGTTGTTGCTTCTCTGCATTGTATCAGTGCTCCGTAAGAAGCGCACTCAACAGGGTTACCCGCCGCGTTAAACACTTGGAAAAGTATAAACATTGCTATTGCGTGCTTGAAAGAAGAGCGTACATTCAAAGCGGTATGGTGCACGCGTGCTGGCTGTGTTTTCAAGTAAATGGAAAATTTGTGAATATGCGTATCTACATTGTAGTAAAAGTTTCAAAATTAAACTGACTGTTATGCAAGAGTATACAATTTCAGGCAGAGATGCCCTTCAACCTGCGTTCAGCATGTGCGATTCATTCTTCTTTAACTCGAGATTAAACAAAGAATATTTTATATACCAAGATTTGTAAATTCACTTAGTTGGGTGTAGTTGGCCATTTCTATAGGATTCATTCTATGTCAAATCCGTCGTTCTCTTGCCATCCCAAGACAGATCTTCTGAGGTCACAGTTCATAAATATAGAAAGATTGAACTTAGCTTATAAACGAACAAGTGGAGCAACCTTCACAAGTTTAGGTGGGTTTTCATCTAAGCATTTGCTAGGGTAGTGAAAGGAGTGAAAAAGCTATTCGATATTCGAATCGAAAATATTCGGCCAAAGTGACTATTCGCTTCAAACTCAAAATCCACTATTCGCACAAGAGTAATAAAAAGCATAGTGGTAAAAAATATTTAGAAAGTTCTTTTAAAATATTTGTTAAGGTTTACTTGGCTTCAAGTTCAAGTGATAAAGCAGTTAAAAATGTTTTATCGTGTTTGAAGCGACGATTGAATAATCAATCAGTTGCCCAGTTCCGCAGCTAAAGCTAAGATTTTTTACGATTACCATACCCTGCTAATTTAAAGGGGCACTGACACATCAAAATTATAATTTTTTTTATTATCCGCAACGATTGAAAACGATGCCGGGACATTACCCTCAAAATTAAAAATTTGGGAATTCAGTATTTGTGAAGTAAAAAAACAATTTCCAAATGCCGAATTCGAAGTTTCCGCGCAGGTGCGTTGACAACAAATATTGCGGAGTCCTGAGAGTCCACTTTCTTTCACGACTCCCTGCTGTTGCCATGGCGACCCAAAGTGAGGAGGAAAGGAGCGAGCGATGGCGGACCGGTTTTGAGTGGTGTCGCCTGTTTTCCGTGGGAGGATACAAACCCAGGAGACGGCACCACAACGGACTCTGATTTTCGGTATTTCAAAAAGAAGGGCCGTAGTGCGTTCGCAATTGCGTTAAAAAACATGTTTTACGATTGCCGATGTCACCTACAAAGCTTCTAAATTTCATGATTCTTGACGTCACGAATCAAAAGAAGCGAGGAGGCGAGAGGCGGGAGAATCAAACAAAAAAAAAAAAGGCGCGCGCGGGAAGTTTTTTTTTTGTGTGATGCGGTTTTTTTGCGTGTTTATGACTGCAACTTTCATCGTTTTAGACAATAAAAAAAAATACGACCTTTGGGTTGTCAGTGCCCCTTTAATTAAGATTGATTGAGTTAAAAAGCAGGCTTTTCTAAGTGGTGTCCCCTTTAATGCCATTCTTGTTTTGGGTTTTCTTCAAGTTTTGACATAGCGTTTTTTCAGGCAGCCACCGAGGACAACCAAGGGTCTGACACCTGCTCGGAGTCGCTGCTCACCGCCATCCAGATTCCTCAGGTGGTGTTTCGTTATTTTTTGCTTCTCGCTTCACCATTGCATCAGTTCGTTCTTTTCTGCGCGTAAACAATGGTCAAGGCTGCCCGAGACTCGTCTCAAACTGGTGCGCTCGGTGTCCTCTTCCGCCCACGCGTGGAAACGGTCCCGATGTGGCGGCAGACGACCTCGCAAAGGCCAGAGTGTCGCGCAGTCGGACGTCTCGATACCGGCGGTTGACTGTAAAAGTTCCGACAAAAAATGAAAGGCGTTTGGAACTCCCTGTAACGCCAAATTAGAGTGCAGCTCTTGAGGAGGAGGAGGGTACGAAGAGGAGGGTACGCCCCTCCTTCTCATCCGTACCGTCTCCTCCTCCTCATCCGTACCGTCTCCTCCTCCCCTCTTCCTCCTGTGCTCCCCTCCTCCTCTCTCCTCCTTCTCCCTCCTTCTCCTTCTCTCCTCCTCTGCCATCAGCATAACCACGCGTTGAATTATGGGACGTCTCCCATAATGCAATGCGCGGCTTCACGGGTTACGCCGTCGCCGTGGGGACATTTCCCATAACGTGACGTCTTCCTTAATGCAACGCGCGTTGCATTATGGGAAATGTCACGCTACGGGAAACGTCCCGACGGCGACAACATAACCACGCTTTGCATTATGGGAAAATGTCCCATAAGCAATGCTTGGTTACGGCGACGCCGCTCAAATCGGAAATGGGCGCCTAAGAGGTGCGCTCTAAAAGCATGAGCAAACGAGAGTGTCGCCGTCGTTGCGGCATCCCAACTGCTGGCCGCCGAAGCTTCCGTGACCGTCAAGCTGAAGAGCGACGTTCGGCAGAACGGGCGTCTGCCACAGCTACCACTGCTGCTGCGCTGCAGCCAGGTTCACGGCCGGCGACGGCGTGATGCTTCTACGACATTGTCAAGCGGAAAGCGGGAGGCTCTTTTTTTTTCTTTTTGGACACGGTAAACACTCTGGTCGGAGACGCATTTCGGGCACCATGTCTACGCGGAGCACAAGTTTGTCCGCTTCTCGAGCAGTGTTGCGGAGTTACCACTCCAGAATCAGAATGATTCCGGAATCATTCCGCATTATTGCGGCCCCGGAACGGGAATGGACTGCCGGCAGTGCTGGGAGGAGAGGAATGGGTATGGAATTTTATTTATTTATTTATTTATTTATTTATTTGTAAATACTGTGCGCCCTTCTGGGCGCTTTACAGGAGTGGAACGTCAGTTTTAAATCATGCAATGTTATATACATTTCTTAACACATCTTATATTTCATATGATTTGCAAAACCGCACTGGTACACATCACGCTACACAAGCTATTAATGAATCTAACCAAGAAAAGAACACGTCTTTTACACATTCATAAACAGAATGGAGAGTCTAATATAATTCAAGTAAACATTTCTCGAATAAGGCTAATGAGTCACAATTCACAACACTTTCGGGAAGCTTGTTCCATTTTTCAACTGTTCTAACAAAAAATGAATACTTGTATGTGTCATTATTAATTCGCGGAACTTGCATAGCCCTATTGTGTACCCCCCTTACTGGTCTAGTAATACGTGGTTGTAAAAAATCAGATGTGTCCATATTTAGTAAGTCCTTTGAAAACATATAAATAACCTTTAGCCTTGCTATCTCTCGGCGGGTGTGAAGAGGTTGGAGACTGAGCTGTTCGAGCATGTTAGTAACGGAGTCCATTCGGCGGTATCTCGAGAGGATGAAGCGAGCAGCCTGTCTTTGTATTTTTTCCAATTTTTCGATTCGATTGTGTCGGTACGGATCCCACACCGCGCAGGCATATTCTAAGGTGGGCCGTATAAATGTTGTGTATGCAGTCAATTTCACCTGACTTGTGGTTTTGCCTAGGTTTCGCTTCAAAAATCCCAACTTTTTGCGAGCCGTACTGCACACATTGTCGATGTGGCGATTCCATGTGAGGTCGGTTGATATCGTAACTCCTAAGTACTTAAAGTGATCAACTAGAGCTATGGGATCGTTTCCAACCCGATATGTGTAGGGTAGGATGTTCGCTTTTTTGCTAGTGATTCTGGCGGATACAGTTTTATCTGGATTAATTTTCATACCCCATTCGTCACACCATTTCTTAACAGAGTTGATAGTCGTGTTTAAGTTTTCTTGATCTATAGGGTTGCGTATTCTAGCATAGAGCAAGAGGTCGTCCGCAAACATCCTAGCTGTAACGTTGGGGCTGAGATCATTAACGATGTCGTTTATGTAACATAAAAACAAGACTGGACCCAGCACCGATCCCTGTGGGACCCCCGATGTAACCCTGCGGGTGGTCGACACTGCTCCGCTGACAGTCACAAACTGTGTTCTGTTAGACAAGTAAGCCTGTATCCACGCAATTACCGACTTATTAACGCCGTATTTTAATAGTTTTTGTATCAGTCCATTATGTGAAACTCGGTCGAAAGCCTTCGATAAATCCAAACAAACCGCGTCGATTTGGCCTCTCTCGTTCGAAGAGCAGGAAAAGTCACCAAATGCACCTAGTAATTGTGTTACTGTTGACAGACCGCGCCGGAATCCATGTTGGCTCTTGTGAAAAATGTTATTTGATTCGAAAAAAGCATAAAGACTTTTAGAAATTATGTGTTCAAAAAGTTTGCAGCTCGTGCATGTCAATGAAATGGGACGATAATTGGCTACATTTTGTTTGTCACCGGATTTGTGGACTGGAACAACCTTTGCACAAAGCCAATCCGAAGGAACGCTGTGTTGACTGAGTGACGCTTTGAATATAATTGTTAAGTATTTGGCGACCCATTCCGCATATCGCTTCAAAAATTCATTAGGAATCTTGTCTGGTCCAGCGGTTTTCTTTGTGTTAATATTTAACAAAAGTGAAAGGACACCGGCCTCTGAAATATCAATGTCTGGCATAGACGCAAGTACGCCTTCGTCGTCCTCCAGATCCACAGGACAATTGCATGAATCGATAAAAACAGAACTGAAGTATTCATTGTACCTCTGGACCATTCCGATATGATCCGAGATGACAACGCCGTTCTCTACAATGCAATCTATGCTCTGTTTTGATGGCGCAAGATATTTCCAAAATTTCTGTGGCGCTGTCTTTATAAACTCCGGCAAGGTGACGCCGAAATATTTTTCCCGAGATTCCTTAATTTTTTCTTTTAATTCATTTGAAAGGCCGGCAACGTCACTTTTGCTGACAGGTTTTGTCTTGCGTCGCCGCTTTATTTTGCGTTTTAAATGAATAATGTCACGTGTTATCCATGGATTTTGTCTATTTATGCGCTTTATTTTCTGGGGAATGTACATCTGCAAGCAATGATTTACAGTCTTTTTAAAGTAATTCCACATTGTGTTTACATCACCCGTTCCATCGAGACCAGACAGAGACATTTCCAAATAATCCAGTACGCCTACGTCATCTGCATTATAAAAATCATACACGCGTACATCCTGACGTTTGATGGGATCTAATGAAGAAGTGGTATAAAAATTCAGTAAAACAAGATTGTGGTCTGAAATTCCATCATGAATATCCACAGAAAAATCACGTAACTTGTTACTAACAAAAATCAGGTCTAATACCGAACTGCCTGCGTTCCCCCTTCTTGTGTACTCTTTTACAACCTGCGCCATATTGAAATTAAACACCATGTCAAGCAGTAATTGAGCATGTTTAACCTCGGTGGCACCAGCCTCAAGAGTATCCCAGTCAATATTAGGCAGGTTAAAATCACCACCAATAATGAAATTTGATTTATTAGCGACATTAGTAGCAACATAGTCATAAACTGATTCCATGATTGACAAGGGGGAATCAGGCGGCCTATAAACTGCTCCAATTACGTATTGCGTGCCACAAAAGTCAATTTTGCACCAAATACTTTCTGTGAGTGGTAAGTCATTCATAATATGACAAGTAATTGACTTCTTCATAATAATCGCGACACCTCCCCCTCGTGTTGGTCTGTCCTTGCGTATAATTTTGTACGCAGGGGGAACTACTTCATCATCCTGTATGTTTGAGTTTAACCATGTTTCGGTCACGATAACTAGATGTGGACAGTGAAGCGTCAGAATATACTCTAGTGCTTCGACCTTGTTAACCAAACTTCGCGCGTTCACGTTCATTATTCTTAGCTGCTTTGCCGCTCCTGTGCCCTTACGTCACTTGTTTACAACTGGCGCGTGTCTATCTTTTGTTATTTTAGTTCGGCAGCTGGCCTCGTTATCCCAGAAATACAAATCACTGCCAATCTGGAGTTTATCTTCAAAAAGTTTGACCCGACGCCCAGTAGCTCTCTCCGTCTCCGCACTATCCCAAAGCTGTTTTGGTTTACGTAATGTTTCCTGGCAGAAGTCGTTTTGAAGGGAGACGCTGGAACCTTTTAACTTATGGCAGTTCTTAAAGACCTCAATTTTTTCGTTATAATCTCGGAACTTCATTATAATCGGACGTGATCGTTGCTTGCGTTTCTTTCCAAGTCGATTTATTCGTTCAGCCGTCTGTACTGTCACACCGAGACGACCACGAAAGAGTTCCTCAAGTACTTTTGATCTAACGTCGTCATTTGTTTCGTTGTCAGGCTCGGGAACTCCGAATATGATCATGTTGTTTTTACGGCTTCTGTCCTCAAGGTTGGTTAACGCAGCTTGTTGGTTTGTAACCGTTCTTCGTAATTCGTTTACTGAGCTATGCAGTACCGTGATAGCTTCTTCGTTCTTTTTTATTGTGACTAGTGAGTTTTCAAGACGAGCAATCCTTCCGCTCATTTCATCTACGGAAGTTTGGAACTGATTTTGCTTATCTTTGATCTGTTTTACATCGTTGGTTATGCATTTTTGACCTTCTAGAATTTGTTCTACCATTATTTCAAGTTTTGTGGGGCCGGGGTTTACTTCTACGTCTCCACAGAGCATTAGCAGTATTTTTCCATGACAAAATGACATATAAGAACAAAACACTTTGGGGCATACTGACATACAAGAAAAGAACACTTCGGGGCACAGCAGCATGAATAAGCATCTATTATCGCTTTTGTAACATCTACCATAGTTTCGGTCACTAACCTGAATGAAAAACAGGAGTGGCATATTTGATGCGTTCCTTGCGCGGCTGCTGTGCCCACTGAAGGACGAAGTGGCAGTAGCAGGGCTTATATCGTAGGGCTGGTGTCCCATGGTTCCGAGTTCTCGTGGCTTCCATTGGCTCTGCTTGAGATCCGCCCATGACGAGGTGCCGTTGCCGATGGTGGGGATGATGCAGTCGTTACCGACGCACGTGGTGACGAGGCTCCCTTCCGCTGGCGGGCTTGGCGCGTGCAGCAGCATCTGAATGAAAAACAGGAGTGGCATATTTGATGCGTTCCTTGCGCGGCTGCTGTGCCCACTGAAGGACGAAGTGGCAGTAGCAGGGCTTATATCGTAGGGCTGGTGTCCCATGGTTCCGAGTTCTCGTGGCTTCCATTGGCTCTGCTTGAGATCCGCCCATGACGAGGTGCCGTTGCCGATGGTGGAGATGATGCAGTCGTTACCGACGCACGTGGTGACGAGGCTCCCTTCCGCTGGCGGGCTTGGCGCGTGCAGCAGCATCTGAATGAAAAACAGGAGTGGCATATTTGATGCGTTCCTTGCGCGGCTGCTGTGCCCACGAATGGGATGCTTTTTGCCCGGAATGGAGTGGGAATGGAATGGGGGGCTCGGTTCTTATGCGAGCTCTGTCGATTATCATCTAGGCCCTACACTCTAAAAAATGGGTGTAACCCTTACACTCCTTTTTACATATAGGACACCCCAAAACTTCAGTTCGCCGTACAGTGCACTGACATCAAGCCGACAGCCCAAACTTTTTCGAGATGTGTTTAGGCGCGATTAAAGATATTAAACTGCTTAAGTATGCATAAAAGTGTACAGAGAGAAAACACTGAGGTTTTGCAGTAGGGCCAAAAAAACCACAATAACTTTTCTTAGTCAGTTACATTTACGTAAGCTATTTTAGTAAGTTGAATAACTTGGCTATCAAGCCGCTAGTGAAAGTTGGTAGCGTCGGTTGAACGTCAGTGCGCTGTATGCCCAACTGAAGTTTAGGGGGTTCATATGTGTGACAAAGGATGTAAGGGCTACACCCCCTTTTTTTTTTAGTATGTAGGGGCTGATGGCACAATTCGCTAGCGCATGGTAAGTGGCTCTCTAAAAGCATTATTGCATTGGAGGTGATTGACGGCTTGATTGTCTCGCTGGCTCATTCTCCTTCGAAGATGAAAATTGCGCTCTCTCAGTGAAGCAACAATTCTGAATATAGTTGTAGGTAGACAAGGTTTATTGGACCAAACAATTTCTTATACATATAAGATTTTTCACTAGGGCAAGATAGCTTCTTGTGCCACGCACAAACTAGACATTTTTAAGGCCTTATCAAACAAACTACACTAACTATGTGTCTGCGAGGGACGCTCTGTTTGCGAAGAAAATCGGTGGTTTTAATTTTCAGCGACTGTTGGGACTCGAAAGCTTTTTACGCTTCATCGCCTTTTTACGCTTGATCACGAGATCAATGTCTGCAGTGACACCAAGCGCTTTGTGCAACCACCCTTTGGCTTAGTAGATTCAGTGCTTTGAAGAAAGCGTTTGCATACTTTTTACAGTCGTGTCCGCATTTGATGTCGCCCGTTTTATGCTGCTTTTCTTCAGTAACCGAGTGTGGCTGTCAATGGTCCATTTTCACATTTAGGAATTAGAAGAATGGAATGGTGGAGTTTAGCCATTCCAGGGGTGGGAATGTGCCCAGTGTCTCCATTCCGAGGAGTTGGAAGGAATGGAATTGTCGAAAACTCCAATTTCTTGGATTGGAATCGGAATGGAATGGGGGTGCCCATTCTGTAACACTGTTCTCTAGCAGGAATTGCGGTGACGTCGGACGACGCCGAGCTCCGATTGGCTTTGATTGGAAGGATGGTGGATAGACCTCAATGCTAGATGCCTCGACGTCTACCGGCCATTTTTTTCAATCGGCCAGTGAGAGCTCTGCATTCTGACATCGTCACATCCCCTGCAAAGGAAGCGGACTCTTTTAGTAGTCTTTTGCAGGTTTAGGCTGCGGAACAAGCACCTCCCACAAAGTCCTCTGCTCGCCACGATTGGCGGTTTCCTCCTCTCCACTCACCTCTTCTCCGGCATTTTCTTTGTTAAAGTGGAAAATGTGGAAGGCTTTCTCAAAAGTGCTTGTCCCCGCTACTCTGAACCTGCCACAAGCTATAGTACATTGCCGCAGCGAGGAATTGAAAAAGAGTGTTTGTTTTTTTCTGTTTGGAACGTACACTGTGCATCTGTGAAGTGGAAAGGTGTTTTGCAAAAAATATAATATTTGCATTGCTGTAGCTTGGAAGAATATCTGCTGGTTTGTGACTGTAGTAGTACACAATTTCAAAGTGTTTAGACTGTAGTAGTACTCTTTCAGTTAAAACTGTACTCCATTGGCTCATAAGCTGCCGGTGGAGCCTATGGGGAATGTCAGTAGTGCAGTCCGGTGCTCCCAGAGTATTCCCAACTTCCTCCTTGGCTCAAGGATATGCATGTGCAAAACGCTGTTGCACTGCCAGTACCCGATTGGTCCAGCCATCTCATACCTTCCACTACACTCTCCGCTTTGGAACAGAGTGCCGTTCTGTTTACGACTTTTTGAGCTAAATTTAGCGGGAAAATATATTCGCAAAATTTAGTGAGGAACCACATTATGAACATTGTGATGTCGGTGTCTTCTAGTGAAGTCATGTCATGTGACGTCGCAGTTTTCCTACTCAATTTATTGAGAAATTTCTCAGCTAATTCTAACTTAAATTTAGTGTCGCACAATGTCATATCGTCACATGATTTGACAGTGTCGCGTGAATGCTGTGTGCTAAGTTTTGAGGGACCTAAATCCACTAAGTTTAAACACAGCAGCGTGACTGTGTGCTGCAGCGTGCAGCGTCTCTGCGGTCTTTGCAGTTCATGGGCGGGACACCGTAAGCTATTGCGATTTTTTAGTTGTCCAGTACCAACTTCCAACAACACTAACTCGCCGCTTCTTTTTGCTGATCAAAGGATCAGCAACTTGGCGGCATCGGGGGCACCCCAGGCGACAAGGGAACAGCTGCGGACTCGTCAGGCTCTCAGACGTCCACAGTACCCTGCAGCAATTCCAACGACGGAAGCCAAACTGGCCTCTCGAAAGCTCGGAGAGAAATAGGCGAAGACGGAGCAGCGGGCGTCGCTGCTGTTGCGTCCACGTCTGGCCCGCAAACCGACGCCACGAGCGAAGCGCAGTCAGGTGACGACTTCAGGCTGCCTCTGATGCCTCACATAGACTTCACACAGACCGAAAGTTCGGAGAGGGCTGACAGCGAACGGAGCGAGAGCTTTCAGGAGGAAGGGGACCAAGGCATGTCGAGTGCTTCCGGCTGCGGCAACAAAGGTGAGGACAGCGACGCCGCCGTTACGAAAGAGCCGGAGGCATTCGCCTGCACTCCCGCTCGGTTATGCGCGGATGCAGATGGCGCAGTTGGTGAAGCGGGAAACGGCGATCTTGACGGCAGATCAGCCGTGTTGCAAAATGTGCCGACGCAAGATGTTGTCGTTGCTGACGATGTTTGTTTTGATGACGGGTGCGACGCATTCCGCAATGCACCGACTCAAGCCTATGCATCGACGGAAGTTTCCGCCAAGGAGAACGAAGATGGGGCTTCCTCCCACAAGAAGGAGGATGCGTTCCGTGACGCTCCCACCCAGGCGTATGCACAGATGGAAAGTGCTGTTGAGGATGATAATGATGATGAGAAGGATGATGCGTTCCGTAATGCTCCCACCCAGGCGTATGCGCAGACGGAAAGTGCCGTTGAGGATGATGATGATGATGATGACGGAAAGGATGATGCTTTCCGCAATGCTTCCACCCAGGCGTATGTGCAGACGGAAAGTGCCGTTGAGGATGATGATGATGACGGCGGAAAGTATGATGGGTTCCGCAATGCTCCCACCCAGGCATATGCGCAGACGGAAAGTGCCGTTGAGGATGACAGAAAGGATGATGCGTTCCGCAGTGCTCCCACTCAGGCGTATGCGCAGATGGAAAGTGCCGTTGAGGGTGATGAGGATGACAGAAAAGATGATGCAATCCGCAATGCTCCCACCCAGGCGTATGTGCAGACGGAAAGTGCCGTTGAGGATGATGAGGATGACGGAAAGGATGATGATTTCCGCAATGCTCCCACTCAGGCGTATGCGCAGACAGAAAGTGCCGTCAAGGGTGATGAGGATGACGGAAGGGATGATGCGTTCCGCAATGCTCCCACCCAGGCATATGTGCAGTCTGAAAGTGCTGTTGAGGACAGTGATGATAACGGGGAGGATGATGTGTCCCATAATGCTCCAATTCAAACCTTTCCAGGGGCGCAAGATGTGGTCGAAGAGAGTGACGCTGAGGACGGCGATCGTTTCGACGAGAAGGACTACGCCTTCCGTAATGCTGAGACACAGGGCTATGCGCGGACGGAAGATTTAGTCATAGAGAGAGATGCCAAAGACGGAGCTCGTTCTGACGGCAAGGATGATTCATCACTAAATGCAGCAACTCGGGCGTACAAGGAAGGCACCAGCCACGAGTCTGCTGATGACGAGCCCTGCAGTCCCGACGGCGAGACGCGAATAAGAGTCCGCGATTCTGAAACAAATGGGGCCATGCCCATTTTTACCAAGAACGACGAAGGAAAGGATGCTGAAGAGCCTTCCACGGCTGTGGCACCACGGCTGGGCCCTTCCACGAACCTGAGTCGTCTTCTGTTTGCAGACACGGAGCCGGCGTGCGACTCCTTCGTCCTGTGTGCAGCCAGCCAGTCGGACGGCGACCAAACGGACGACGAGGAAGATTTTTGTGCCCCCACGCAGATGGATGCCGGCTCCGCAACTCCCAAGGTCCACCCGGTCGACCTCAAACGGTCGACCCCGGTGTCCGTGAACGAGACTCCGCCGCTGTCTCCCAAAAGCGCCATCGAGGAGACACCTCCCTCCTCGCCATCCATTGTCCCGGAGAGCGACCCGGAGGATGCGGACGACAGCATGGTTACGGCGCGGCACTCCCTGTCACTCCTGGAGAGCACTGGCACGTCGCTTTTCCAGGACTGCGAGGAGTACGGGGACAGTGAAGTCATCTTGCCTGTTGTCGGGAGGAGTGACAAGAGGAGGGCACTTCTCAGCAGTCTCAAGAGGAGCGGTGGCAAGCTTGTCAAGGAACACTTAAGAACGACCCATAGGGAGGCGTCACAGTTAAAGGCGTTGGAGGAAGAACCGGATTCGGTGGACGGCAACTTGGTAGGCGAACAGCGTTCGAAGCAATCTGGAGCTGCAAAGAAGCTGGAGTATGCTGGCAGTACCTCCAGTGCTCTTGCAATCCCCGAAGAAGAGTCCACACCGGGAGATGTGTCTCGGTGCAAGTCGGCGTCGGAAGGAGCTCCTTTTAGCATACCTGGGGTGGCACCGCTTCAGCTATCTTCACTGGTTTCGCTGAACGAGGAGACGGCGGAGAGCAACGATGTGGTGCTTGACTCGACTTTTACTGTTGGAGGCTCAAATGCAACCGCCGATTCCAGTGTTCACTCGGCAGTGGCGGAAGACCATCGTGAAACAGCGGAAGGTGCAGTTGAAGAAGCTGGGTTTCAGGAAGCCGACAACAGATTGAGGGAAAGTTCTGGACGCACAGAGTTGCCGAACCAATCCGTAGATCAGACACGGGAGAAACATGAAAGTGTCTTAGACGAGGAAGAGACGCAAGTTTCCGATGTGGAGGACGTCGAAGACACAAAGGGAGTTTCCAGCGGTGTGGAGGCTGAGCCAGCAGAGCCATTGCGGTTGTCTGAAGAAGCAGATGTCAATGGGAGCACACTCTCCGAGGTGGCCGTCAAAGACGCGGAATCGGAACAGGAACCGAAAGTGCCTTCTTTGGAAGCGACTGAAGATGTGTTAGAGTCCAACCTGGAGCACGAAAATCAAACTGAGGCAACTCCACTGCCTTTTAAACTTCCAAAGTCTCCGGGCAGAACGAAAAACGCAGACAGTGAGGCTGCCGACAAAGTTTCAAAGTTGACCAAAAAGGGCAGCGAGAGGAAATTTTTGTCCAAGAAGACCGAGACGACCAAGGAAGTGACCTTAAACTTGGACGTGGTGCAACCTCCAACCAGGAGCCGAAGATCAAATGCCGGAGCCAGGATGAAGGAGTTTCTTTCTATCGAGAAGAGAACGGGAGCTTCGGGAAATTTCAGAGAGGACTTGGCATCCCAAGAGGCCAACAAGAAGGAAGCGCCACCCGCGTCTAAAGAGCAGTCAAACGTGGAAGGCAGGACATCTAAACCAAAGAAACGTGGTCGAAAAAGCACCAAGGAGCAGATGGATGAAAGCAATGAAGGCCAAAAGCTCCCTTCGTTGCCTCAACCAACAGAGGAATTGCAACTCCAACCATTGGTAAGTGCAGCGCCTGAAAGTTTCAGTGCTGCCAACCCTGCAGTTGAGGGCAAGAAGACTTACCAGCCGTTCTCAAGAGGAATATGGGACAGTCAGTTTCAAAGCACTCCTTACACGAGCGGCACCATAGACAGTTGCCTCTCGCAGGCATTCCCCACCTTCTCTCAACTCATGGTTGGAGCCGGTGACGATTGCAGAGCTGCCGACGAAGTGGATGAAGCGGCTGCCACTGACATGGATGAGCGGAAGAAGCCTCCGCAGCAGAAGGCAATAGCGTCAAATGTGAGCATGGTTGTTGCCGATTTAGATCCAAAAGAGGTTCACCCAAAAACCATTGGAAGCACTCTAGGTTTTAGCGGGAAGATGAGCGAGGCTTCAAGTCGATCGGACACAGGTCCTGACAGATCAAAGAACTCTTTGGATGCTGCAGTTGTGCAAGTGATGGATGCAAAGGCTGGTCATTCAATGCAAAGAACCATGAGCCAGGACTTGAAACGTGAAGGGCCTCAGGACTTAGCAGTCTCAGAACCGCTCTTGGAAGATGCTGGCTGTGTGCCGGACTCTGATGAAACTCAAGATCTGGATGCCTTGATTCCAGCAGAATCGACTCGTCCTAAATGGGCCACAAGAAAGAGCACTCCTTTCGTGCCGTCCGGACTTGCGAATAAGCCCAATCGCAAGATCAAACTTGAGTCGGCGGAAGACACTGGAGGCAGTGGGGACGAGTTCCAGGACGACTCGCAGACGAAGAAGGTAAGCGGTGCAAAGCAAGTCGTCGCCGCGTCAAGACCATCTCGGAACGCCGTGAAACCTGCGCCATTGGCAACCACGAGCACAGTACAAGACAAGCAGCCTTGTACACCAACTAAGGAAGCACTTCCGGCCAGGCGACGAACACGGAAACAGGTGCTGGACGTCCTTGCTTCAGAGTCCAACGATTTATCCGCAGTCCGTGAAGCGGGTGAAAAAGAACTAGGGGATGCCATCGACGACAAGAAAAAGTCCTCGCGGCGGTTGCAGTCGAAAAGGGCAGCTTCGGGTGACGTGGAAGGGCCTCAATCTTCGCTTGCATCACACGAAGTTCCCCAGGGAAAGCGCAGAAAAAATAAGGCAGTCTCGGAGGTCCCCGACGTAACTATTCCGGAACCCAACGTTGCCGGATCTGCAACCAAGGAAGTTGAGGATCAGAAGGGTACCATTCGTGGCAAAGAAGGGCGACTCAGCTCGTCACTGCCCGGAGGAATCGTGTTGCAAGTGAAGGAGGCAGCCTCAAGCGAGTCTCGAGACTCCCAACCTACCCGAAGCTGTCAAGGACGAGCAAGAGCACGAAAGGTTGTGGATACCCCCGTTTCGGATGTCGTCAAAAACAACTCGGAAGGATTCAACGAGGCAAGTGCTGTTGACAAGGACAAGAGAGAACCGCGCTCCGCTCGTTTAAAGGGAAGAACGGTGCCAGAAGCTGCATCGAGGGGACCTCAAGGTTCCCAATCTTCTCCAAGTTCACAAGGACAAAAAAGAACACAAAAGGCTGCGAATGCTTTTTTTCTGGATGTCGCAGATGCCGGCAGAGAAGAATCGGACGAGGCAAGCGCTGTCGACGAGAAGAGAGATCCTTGCTCTTCGCTGTCAAAGGAAACAACGGCGCCGCCAGTGGAGCAAGCTCCGTCCGGGGAGTTTCGGGACTCCCAATCTTCCCAAAGTAATCGGGGAAAGCGCAAAACCGGGAAGGAGATCCGAGATACTCGTGCGTTAGACTCTGACGCCACCGATGCCGGCACGGAGGAGTCCCAGGAGGCAAGCACCGCCGAGAAGAACGAGAGGCATTCTTGCTCTTCGCGGTCGAAGCGGACGGTGCCGCAACATCCGCTGAACCAGTTGCAAGGCTCCCAATTGTCGCAGGTCACCCGGAGAAAACAGAAGGAAGCTCCACTGCCTTCCCACTCCGAAGAACCCGGAGAAAAACAAGCCAACGCACGGGGCCGAAAGAAAGGTCTGGAAAAACGGCTGGACTCGTGCGAGCCAACAGCACTTTTCACGGATTGCAATCCTAGGGTGGTGATGGTGCCTATGGAGGAAGTTGTTGGCTTTGGATATTTATCACAAAGTAAGCAGACGGCAAGGGAGACGCCGGCGGCGCCGGTGGAAGGTCTTCTTACTAAGAAGGCCGTGGAAGAGGCCTCCACGACTCGTGGACGCCGAATCAAGGAGGTTGAGTCGGCAGAATTGCCGAAGCCTGTCCTCGGGGGAAAACGGCGTAAAGTGGCTTTGGTGGATGTTGAAAAGAAGCCATCGTCGAACAATGAGGAAGCTGAAGGAGTGGAGGGGGTGGCACCACCTCCAAAACTGCGGCCGGGAAGACCAGCCAGGAATGCTGCGGTGAAGGTGGAGGCTGCTTCCCAGGTGAGTTCTCTTGTAGAATTTGCTTTTGACTAGATGTTTTGTGCCTAATTTTAAAGCAAATTTTGGCGGTGTTTGTGGCTGTAAAGGTCAGCCACGAAAAAAATTTATTTATCGGCTGCTGCAGGTTCAGCACACATAGAGGTTGGCACGTGTCATTTGGTAGTCAGATGTGTAACTTGTTTTGGAACACTTCCTTTTTAGTTGGCCAGCGAGAAACTTGCAGAGCTAAGTGACTGAGATAACGAGTTACTGTCGAGAGGGCATGAAAGTTCATAATTCAGTGTTTTTTGTATTTTTTGTGTTGTGACAAACATGTCATTTAGTTGCACTGGTGATATAATAAAGTTTCGTACCAGCTGCAATTCTGCTCTGTCACTGGTACTCGTCATGGTCACACCATATGCAAGCTTTGGTCTTTCTAGATATTCTCATGCTTTGGCAGGTTTTTTTAGAATGGGAACATTATTGTTGACAGGGAGTAACAAAAACAACTGGGTACTTTAATTTTTTTTTCTTTTTTGGGTAGGCTAACATGAGCACTACTTCCTCCACTCCTCGGTAGTGATAAGTTGTGAGGAAGCTTAGGAAGCACACAATACTTCATATCATTTGACTGCAATAGATTGCCAAGTGTCCCATTAAAGGTGTTCTTTCATATTAAATTATAGAAATTCATTTACAAAAGCAGTTAGTAGACATATTTTGTGGGGAAAGTCAAATAGATTAAGCCCTATTTAGATAAAAGGCAAAAATAAAATTTGCATGCTAGAAGAAAGTTTAAGAGATTAATAAATTAAGTGCAAGATTTCATATTTGGTGTACGGTACATACTCGTAAATCATACGTGTGTTTCTCATGAGGGCTAAGAGGATCAGTTCGTCCTGTAAAATTTTATCTTCTGATTTACCCTCGTAATTATATTCCCCAAAGCAAGTCTTACGATTTTTTTTTTCCAATGTCCCCGCTTCGAAGGAACCCAGCACGAGCAGGGGCAGAAAGAGGGAAGGTCTCGCCCAGGACCCCTCCCCTTCCCCCCGCAAAAAGGGACGAGGAGGAAGGGCTGCAGCCACAAACGTGTCGTCTCCCAAGGCGGACGTTGGAGTGGCGCCAGCTTCCAAGGGCAGAACGAGCTCTAGTCTAAAGCCCAGGGTGATGTTCACGGGACTTGCCGACACGACCGGTGAAGAGGCAAGTCCCTTACTTTTGTTTTGGGCGTTGGTTTCATGCTTAGGCACAAATCTGGAGTTGCGTTGGATTTCAGAGTTGGAAGAGTCGCTCGAGAGTTTGCTCCAGTTTATATAAATGTCGGCCGCCTCGGTTTCTCTGAGGCAAAGCGCGGGCCTACGAATCCCCATTTTGGCGGGTTTCAATTGCAGCACAGTTGCCTGCAATACGACGGAGGGTTATTGCAAAGAAGTTGTATGGCTTTCGGTTGCATGTGAAAAGAGCCATAGGTGGTCGAAATTAATCCCCAGTCCTCCGCCGGGATGTCACCTTTCTTGATTTTGCTTGTAGAACTCCCAAATTTGACCTTGTCAATGTAAACAGTTCTTAGGTATGTTCCTTGGCGATTCGTTTCGGCCTGTCGTCTCCACTTTGTTGCGTGTGTGTTTCATGCAGGGTGATGCTATACAAATATTCCATAATGATTTGTGCTTCAAGCCACAAATGAACCTGTGAAAAGAAGTTCATAGGCATGTGAGGAAAGACAGCTGGGTGGTCAGTGTCTAACAAGCAACCGTGGAACTTTTTTTTGGTTTCGCTATATGATTTTTGTGTTTGATCGCCGATGTTCCATCAGACAACATACCTGCATTCATTTTTAGGCTCTCGCACTAATTGGTACCAAAAACACACAAGAAAAAGACAGAAAATGATGCCGAAATTGCTGTTGGCGCTAGGCTGATTCTCGACGAAAGGCGTCTGCATTTAGCTCTGGGGTTTTGACTCGGCGAAGGATGGGAATTCCAGCCTCCCAATGGTCTGCACACTGCTGTGTTCGGAAAGCCAGTCTGTTCTCCGAGGCATCGACGGTTTCGGATACAGTCACCACAGCTTCCTCCCGCTCCGGCAGCGTATCATGATAAGCATGCCTGAAGACTCTTTCACTCTTTTATGAGGGAAGGAGCATAACAACATGGGACATAACGAGCGAACAAACGAAGGAAAAGATAGGAACCGCGCAGTGCGCTGCGGCTTCACAAAATCAGTCCAGTCCAAACCAAACCACAACTGCTCAAATGAAAACTACTGCATGCACCAGAACAATAAATGCCAACGCATTTAGAATTGAGAAGCGCCAACCTCCTCAAGTTGCAGTCAGGACAAGCTGTCGGGTGTTCTTTGTCTGTTTCGGGCCACTAGTCTTAAACGTAGTCACATGCCTGGTTGGCAGGTCAGAGTTTATGCTCTGCTCCAGACATCAAAAAAATTTAGCGATTTCTGTCGCCACACTAATTAGCCACGTACGCAAGCCCAAATATTTGCCAGTGGAGTGATTGGTTACCCGGTGCGAGCCAACCGATCATGCATGCTCGTGCCACGTCCTTGAGCCGTTTTTAGTTGTGATGCGTCAGCGCTCTTAGGTGCTGGGTGCACGTTACGAGAGAGTGCCAGCCATTTCTGAAGAAAAACAAAAACACTCTTCCCTCTCACTTCGTAGGTCTGAAACAGAAGTCACATTTCTGGATCCTTTCCCAGCATGCTAGATCTCTCGTGTCCCACTGTGCGTTATGTGTTTAGAAAGATTTTAACCAAATATTGTTTCATGGTCCCTTTAACACACGCTTCTCCCATAAGCATCAAAGGCCTCATATTTGTATGGCAGTCACTGCAGGACCTGAGCTGCTCTGCAAAAAAATTTGCAAAAGAAAAGAAAAGCAGAATTGTATTTTTCGCCCAATGTGCGAAGAAGCGAAAGCAATAGCTGTAGCACGGTCACGCAATGCGGGTGGAATGGTGCCGTCACGTACCTGAGGACGGACATGCAACATGGTTAATTCTCATAGCCGTCGGGGTGTGCATCGTGGATGCCACTGACGACTGCCACCAGTGCTCGGTGATCTCTGAAGTAAGCGCGTTGGGAGTTTCTAAAACCATCCAGCATTGCGCGTAGCAACTGGACACTGCCAAAGTGGGATTTCGCATAATGCAACTAATGTTTGAAAAGTAGTCTTTCAAGCGGATGACAGGAAGACTCTCCCTTTGTCGTGTCGTTACTGGCAGGATACCGGGGCTCCCCGCTCTTCTCTCTCGGTGCTGTGCGGCCAAGGGGAAAACCCGACTTTCCTAGCCTTGTGCCAAGAGCGGAAAGTAAAAGGGTCCTTCCCTTCGCACGCGCAGCGACGACAATCGACGACCTCGGAATCTTTGCAAACTGTTACCCGTAAAGCTATCACTCTAGCTGCGAAGAAAAAAAAAAAAAAAAATCCTACAGGTACTGATATCAAAATCGGACACGTCTGTTCTTGCGAGTGGCAAATATCAAAATTTTGTGTCCCAGACCAGTGATTCTCAACCAGTCGTGTTTTAAGGAGCCCTCTTTGGACGACAGAGGTAATGAAGCACTCCATTCACCAGGACGGAGGAGAGGGAACCGGGCGATCGCAATGACGAAAGAATAAACGAAGGCGACTAAACACGTGCAAACCAACTTTAAAGCTATGGAACGGAGAATTGTGCATGGTTTAGTCTATTTAGCATAAAAAAAAAAAATTATATTAGTGCTCGGCTTGACTGACAGTCAACCTAACCTAAACTAACCTAACCTAAGCCAAAAGGCCTGAAAAGGCCTTAGTGTCCCTTCTTCGTATGCGGTGGTCATCATGCAGACAGGTCTCTGAGGAAAAAGGACAAATACAAAAACACACCATACAGAAATTTCAATTATATTTGATAGGCACATCAAATCACAGATAATAACCGAAATAATTCATAATCAATAATCAGTGACCAAGACACACTAAATCCATTAAATTTTTGATTTGTGTTTAAAGAGCAGGTTCACTACAGATTTTTATAATCCCCTTTGTAGTACCTGAACATCCATAAAATTTGTTTTTGAAGTACTAAGTATTATAATTTGAGGCAGTTGTCTTTCCCCAAACCAAAATTTGCATAGCTTAGTTTTTAAAGAAATAACGAGTGATACATATTTTTAAGCAGCGAACTTGGGATATAATTCTTGATTTTATACAGTGCGCCAATAGTTCGGGACAGGTCACTTTTTAGCTTAATAACATGACTACTCCATGACAGTTCTTCACTGAACCAAACACAGAGAAATGTTTGCTCCCTTGCTCTAGTTCCGAGCCTTCAAATTTTATTGTGATGCTATCGACGTCTTGTTTACATACTGGTTTAAAAATTATGTATCTTGTATTGTTTTGTTTTGCTTGAGTTTAGTTGCAATCTATTTTCTTCTAGCCTTTGAGACAGTTTCAAAGGAGCCCTGCAATCGTATTTAAGCGTCTACCTTTTTTGCAGTTTCCACGTCTCTTGGGGTTCGGGCAAGCCAGCGGGCACAAAGAGTGCAACTAAATATCAGTACGTCATATTTCAACCGAACGACGCGGGCGTCATATTTTAACCGAACGACGCGGGAACCTTCTTCACCGACGGGGGCGATCTGCGGTACTGAAAGCGCGCGATATGTGACGTCTTTCGTCCTGGGCTTACTACTGGTGAGAGCGGCTAAAAGCTTCTTTTTAGTCGAAATACAAAATATAAGTGGTGCGAACCATTTCAATTATGTATAAAAGTACTTTTTGTTCAGTTTTTTAGATCAGAAAAGAAACAAATGCAGTTTATAAAGTACGAAAACAATGACCTGTCGACGTACCCGCCACCAAGCGGTGGAAAAGGCGGCACATACTAAAAAGGAGTAGTGGATCAGGCGCCGACACGGAAAGGTGCCGTATGTACGCGGCGGCGCTGTGGTCGTAGGGACTGGAGGATCCGACCGGCTCAGAGTGTTCCGAAGGCCTTCGGCAAGCAGCTTT